AATCCTCCCGGCCGCTTCTGTGGGGGTCTTTTGTTTCATCGACCCCCAAGCCCCGGTTGGTTTTGGAGGATCAAATCCTACACCAACCGGGGAATTTCATTTTTTTTATTATTATTTATTTAGGGAGTCGACTCCCAAACCTGTCGAAGGTTTTGGGAGTTCGACTCCCATTTTTTGGGGATTCCGGGGCTTGGGAGTCGGCTCTCCATTTTTTGGGAGTCGTTTAACCAAGCCCCTTTTTCTTTATATCAAGATGAATCCAAATGATAATTTGGCAAGTGCTTCGCAATGGAAAGTGAGAAAAAAAGGGATAAGTTTGCTGAGAGTTATCTTTGGGGGTTGATAACCGCTGTGGTAAATAATACTGTGTTTCTACGCAGAAAAATATAAAAAATTATATTATCTCTTTATATATTATAGATATGGTAAAAATGACATCAGAAATGGATTTCTCAGGTAAAATAACCCCTAGTCACCCACTACAACTGACCCCATATCTCTCATAGTTTAGAAGTGACACAGATTTCAACCTGTCACGGGATATCTTTTGGATTCTTTACTCTCAGTATGGCTTGTTTTGAATACTGGATGCATATTGAATATTGAATTCCTTTGTGTTGTATTGAATTCCTTTATTGGCACATAGTGCATATTGAATTCCTTTGTAGGTGCACATGCATTCCTTTGTAGTAGGACCTTGTAGGCTAGCCAAATTCCCTCAAGGCAGTGCTCTCACCAGCCAAATTCCCTCACCTGCATGTACTAGACTAGCTAAAATCCCTCATTGGATTTTCAGGCCAGCTAAAATGCCTCAAAAGCCTGTACCCTGGGGCTAAAATCCCTCACATTTGTCTATATAAGGAGGCCTCTGCCTGCCAGTTGTACCTTCCATCATCCCACCAGTGGACCAGATCATCTCAACCACCCTTACAGATTATATACAAGTGACAGCCATAACAATACATTATATTGAAATATAACCATAACAGTTTCATCATCATAACAAGTGCCAAGTGCCCATAACTTGCCTCACATACCATTACTGGTTGAAGCATAGCGCTCCCAGAGCTCCAAGCCTTGGTATTAAAGCTTTGAACAACAACTCTATCAATATAATCATCACTCATTAACAACTTCAGACCCTTATACACATCACTCGGAAGCTTCATCTTGAACTATCCTCTATCACGATAAATATAACTGCCAAGCTAAGCTTGGTGGTCTTGTTGTTCTGATAGCATAGAAGGGCAGAGCTTGCAACTCCATCATCCCCTTCTCCATTCAGCAAAAGGGTTTCATAACCACTTTTGAGTCTTACACCGCACGCCAACCCCCATGGCGCACGCCAATCCGCACGCCAGGCGCAGATTGGCGTGCGGGCCTGCACGCCAATCTGCTGCAGGGGAGTTGGCCTGCAGTTGGCGTGCAGGCCTGCACGCCCAACTTTAGGTCCTAAACGCATATTTATATGCGTTTAGGACCTGGGCCGTCCCATAGGACCCAGGCATGGGTCCTACAATGGGACGGCCCCATTTTTCCATTTTTTTTTTTTTTTTTTTTTTTTTTTTCTTTCTTTTTTTTCCCCCTCGGCCTAGAGAGGCCGAGGTCACACCGCCGGGAGGAACCCCTCCCGGCGAGCGGTGTACACTCCAGCGGAAGGGTTTCCTTCCGCTGGACGAGGTACACGTACCTCATCCATCGGAAGGAACCCTTCCTCGGACGAGGTACATGTACCTCGTCCAAAGGAAGGCTTTCCTTTC